CGCCAAGTTGAGGGCGTGAATATGTTGTGAAGAGTAACAACTCTATTTTGTTATGATTTAATTGCTAGCCAAGGGTTATCCATGTATGGGTCCGAGAGACCACTTTTGTGTAACTAGGCTGAAGCCTTGGAAGTTATAGCCCATGAGGGCATTTTATTTATTTTGAAATTTGACGTTCTACATGCTATAGATTCATGTATTCAATATCCTTTAATGTATAATTTGCATGTGGAATTTTTGTATAAACCTAGTGATTAATGATGTAAAGGTTGGGGGTTTTATTATATTTATATAGTGAATGCTGGTTAAAGTATTTCATCTTGATGGATTATTTTCGAGGCGTTGCAATTTGGTATCAAAGCTACTTGGTTTGAATACTTGGGACTCGCAGGAAGTGGTTGTTTTGCCACAATGGGTTCATTTCGCATGATTATGAAATGTTTTGTTTTACATGATTATGTGATAAAATGCTTATGTGAATATATGGGTATGGGATTGGACTTTTGGGATGCTATTTGCGCCTATTAAATTCCTTGAGGCCTTATTAGAAGGGTACCTGATCAATACTCGTTCTACTAAAGATTCTTAGTTTTTCGTGGGACGAATTTCATCACAAAATGATAGTCCGTATGTGCTTACGTGACTAAGTGCTTATGTGGAGTGAGCTGAATTGTTTGTGTGGTAAAATATATATGATTGTTGTAGTCTAACGTGTGAGGCAAGTTGCGAGCACATTTGGAATTATGTGCTAAATTATCTATCTTGTTCCTTAATTAGGATGTCATGAAGGGTTCAAATTCGTGGTGGTAGGGGTGGAAGGTGTGGTCGGGGTCGCCAAGCTGTGCATGGAGCATCGGTCCATGAGGTTCCGGTGCAAGAGGAGGCGTTAGGCCAAGCTAATATGGCCGAGCAAGTGGGGCAAGCTGAGTTACCGGGGCAAGCAGGTCAAGCCACAATGGGGGCCCTAGCCCGAGAAATGGCGGGGGCATTGAGGGAGTCCATGAATATCCTAAGGGTGGAGAATCAAGCTAGGGACAACGCTGTGGAAACTAGGACAAGCTTCCTTACGAGGGAGTTTTTGCGAGCCAAGCCGGGTGAATTCCATGGTGGCCCCGAGCCTAAGAAAGCGAATGAATGGCTTGAACAAACCTTGAAGACTTTTGAGATTCTTCACATTGAGGAAAGCGAATTAAGAGTGACTCTTGCGAGTTATTACCTCAAGGGAGATGCGGGCCAATGGTAGAAGTATGCTAAAAGCCGAGTAGAACCGACATGGGAGGCATTTATGGTGGCCTTCCAAGACAAATATCTACCTCTCACTGCTAGGGAGAGGTTGAGGCAGGAGTTCCAAGACCTCAAGCAACTCAATATGTCTGTGGCTGAGTTCAAAGCGGCCTTTTCTAGATTGTCTCGGTTTGCACCGGAGTTGGTAGCGACGGAAAAGCGTTGTTGCATTGAGTTTGAGAAGAAGCTTAGAACAAAATCTTGTTCAAGGTTGCCGAGAACATGATTCGAAATTATGACCGTCTTGTGGAGGCAGCCGCACATGTGGAGATTATCGTGGAGGCCGAGTAGGAGAGACTTCGGAATTCGAGGTCTAGGGGCCAAGGGTCACAGGGGGACTATAGGCCCAACAAGAAGAGCAGAAACACTTTTTCAACCCAGTCTCAGCTGCAACAATCTAGATCTACTTTCCCCTTGCCTAGTGCGGGCATGGAGAAAGAGTGCACCGAGTGAGTTTTCTTGTTTCAAGTGTGGCCAACCGAGTCACAAGGCCTTTGTTTGTCCACAGAAGGGTGGAGGACAGCAGATGTTGCCACCACCACCACCTAACTAATCTCAGAGTCAGTCTCAGAGTAGGGGGCAGGAGCCTACTTGCTACCAGTGTGGTCAGTCAGGGCATATAAAGAGAGCGTGCTTGCAGTTGGGAGGCACATCTGGCGCATCAAGGTTGAGGCAGACTCAGAGCCACTAGCAAGCTCATTCAGTTCAGACTTCGCGCATTAATCAGGGAGCCGCTTCGGCTCAATCAGTACAGCAGGCCTATGCTCCGAGAGATGAGTAGGTTGATTAGAGGCCACAGGGGCGCGTGTATGCTGTTACTGTGCCAGAGCAGTTGTCGAGATCCTCAGTTGGGAGAGGTATTTTTGTTGTGTGTAATTATTTGGCTAATGTGTTGATAGATATGGGTGCATCTTATTCATTCATATCTACTGCATTCGCATCTACATTAGGGTTAAAGGTGGCACGATTAGCGTCTCCACTCAGAGTTGGGTCACCGGTTGGGGGTACAGTTGACTTAGATCGGGGATGTCGTGGTTGTGAAATAGAGGTTGTCAGGCGTCGACTCCCGTTTGCTTTTGTGTTGCTAGACATGTCGAGTTTTAATGTCATTTTAGGCACAGATTGGCTATCTTCGTATCGGGCTATGATTGATTGTTTTCGTCAGAGGGTCACAGTGTCCACCTCGAGTGGTGATTGTTTTTACTTTCTGGGAGACTGGGTTGATAGGGTCTTGTCGCCAATTAGAAACGAGCTTAGTGGTCTTCTACTACTCTCTTGGATAGCAAGAGTGGCGGGACTTGTGTTGAGTTGCCAAGGGTAGTTTGTGAATACCCGGACTTGTTTCCCGAGGACCTTACTAGTTTGCCACCTTACCAAGAGATTGAGTTCACCATTGGCTTAGTGCCTGGAACGGCTCCAATTTCCATGGCGTCATATAGATTTGCACCCGCTGAGTTGCATGTGTTAAAGATTCAACTCCAGGAGCTTTTAGACAAGGGTTTCATTCACCCTAGCACGTCACCTTGGGAGCGCTGGCTCTCTTTACAAAGAAGAAGGATGGGTCATTGCGGTTGTGTATCGACTACCGCAAGTTGAATTGAGTTATTGTCAAGAACAAATACCCTCTACCCAGAATAGATGACTTGTTTGATCAACTTATAGGGCCGTCTTGCTTTTCGAAGATAAATTTGAGGTCGGGGTATCATCAGTTGAGAGTCCGGGAGGAAGACATCCAGAAAACAGCCTTTTGTACGCGTTATGGCCACTATGAATTCCTTGTAATGCCTTTTGGGTTAACTAATGCACCGGCTTCCTTTATGGATTTAATGAATCGAATTTTTAGGGAATACTTGGACCATTTTGTGGTTGTCTTTGTGGACGACATCCTAATTTATTCGACTTCCGAGGAGGAACATGAGGCTCACTTGAGGGTAGTGCTTGATTTGCTTAGGGAGCATCAATTGTATGCCAAATTTGAGAAGTGCGAGTTTTGGCTCACCGAGGTGAAGTTTTTGGGTCATGTGGTGTCAAGAGAGTGAGTAACTATAGATTCTTCAAACATAGATTCTATACAAGATTTGGAACAACCTAAAAATGTTTTTGAGATTCAGAGTTTCTTGGCATTGGCGGGGTACTATCAGCGTTTTGTGAGGGACTTCTCTAGACTAGCCGTGCCTTTGACTAGGTTGACTAGAAAGGGGGTTAAGGTTGTGTGGAGTGAGGCTTGTGAACAGTCTTTCCAAGAGCTTAAGACTAGGCTGACTACCACACCAGTGTTGATAATTCCAGAAAGAGGATTGGGCTATATCGTCTTTTGTGATGCGTCTCGGGATGGGCTTGGTTATGTTTCGATGCAAGGGGGAAAGGTTATAGCCTACGGTTCGTGGCAATTGAAAACTCATGAGAAGAATTACCCTACCCACGACTTAGAGTTAGCAGCAGTAGTGTTTGCCTTGAAAGTTTGGGGGCATTATTTATATGGCGAGAAGTTTGAGGTTTTCTCCGATCATAAGAGTCTAAAATATCTATTTTCCCAAAAGAACTTGAATTTACGTCAACAGAGGTGGATGGAGTTTTTGGAGGATTATGACTTTGAGTTACACTAGCATCTGGAGAAGGCCAATGTAGTAGCCGACGCCTTGAGTCGGAAATCCGTGAGTAGTTTGGCGAGTGTGGTCATTCGGGAGTGGGTTATGTTGGGTGAAATTGGCAAGTTTGAGTTGCACTTGGGTGAGTCCGAAGAGGGTGCAACATTGTTTACTTTGAGTGCTCAACCTGTCTTGATTAGCAAAGTTGTAAAGGCACAACAAGGAGACCGTGAAGTAGAGTCAATTCGTGATAGAATCTCCAATGGGAAGGAAGAGAAGGGTTTGAACATTCACTTGGATCATAGTGTATGTTACCTAGACCGTTTGTTTGTACCTAAACCTTGTAGAGAGGAAGTGCTTCAGGAGTTCCATCACTCACGCCTTGCGGTACATCCGGGAGTGTATCATGATCTTAGCTGTCAATTTTGGTGGAGGGGTATGAAGCTGGATGTTGCATTCTTCGTGTCGAAGTGCCTTATTTGTCAACAAGTAAAGGCTGAGCACCAAAGACCATCGGGTTTGTTACAACCCTTACCAATAGACAAGTGGAAATGGGAGCACGTTTTCATGGATTTCGTAGTTAGGCTTCCTAGGACACAGCGGGGCAATGATGCCATTTGGGTGATTGTTGATAGGTTGATTAAGTCTACGCATTTCATTCCAATGTGTACCAGCGACTTAGTTGAGCACTTAGCAGAGTTATGCGTTAGAGAGATAGTTCGACTTCATAGGATTCCTGTAACCATTGTATCAGATAGGGATCCTCGTTTCACCGCCCAGTTGTGGCAAAGCCTTCAAGAGGCATTAGGAACTAAGTTGACCTTTAGCACCGCCTATCACCCTCAAACCAATGGGCAATCGGAGCGTACCATTCAAATTTTAGAGGATATGCTTAGAGCTTGTGTCCTAGATTTCAAGGGGTCTTGGGAGAAGCATTTACCGTTGATTGAATTTGCCTATAACAATAGTTACCAAGCTAGTATCGAGATGGCGCCATTTGAGGCATTGTATGGCCGACCTTGTAGATCACCAGTTTGTTGGGCCGAGGTGGGGGATGCACCGTTGTTGGGTCTGAAAATTGTTAGGGAGACAACTGAGAAAGTTGCTCTCATTTGGAAGAGGTTAGCTATGGCCCAAAGTCAACAAAAATGTTATGCTGATAAGAGACGACAACCTTTGTCTTTTGAAGTGGGTGACCATGTTTTCCTTAAGATCTCACCTAGACAGGGTTTAATGAGATTCGGTAAGAGTGGTAAGTTGTCTCCGAGGTTCATTGGGCCTTTCGAGATATTGGAGAGAATCGGAGAAGTGGCATATCGGTTAGCCTTATCGCCACAACTTTCAGGGGTTCACAACGTGTTTCATGTGTCAATGCTTAGGAAGTACGAACCTGACCCTTCTCATATACTAGATTGGGTTGATTTTGAGGTAGATGAATGTGCCTCTTACGAAGAGCGATCGGTTCAAATCTTAGATACCCGAGAGCAAGTGCTATGGGGCAAAACTATACCGTTAGTAAAGGTGTTGTGGAGACACCACGGGGTTGAAGAAGCAACGTGGGAAAGGGAGGCGGAAGTTTGCTCCAAGTTTCCGGATTTATTTGAAAATACTTAGTTATTTTGATTTGTAACGTTTCCTAGTATTGAAGGGAAAAGATATTAAATTGTTGATCATATGATGTTATGAAAATTGTTAATCTAAGCATGAGACTGTAAAGAAATGATGTTTTGTTAAAAATGCTCCATTTCAAATGTTCATTGTAAGCAATTGTTGTCTTGATGTCATGATGATACTGACAATGGTAAATGTTGGTTGAATGTTAATGTCGCGATTTGGAATTTTGATGGCATAGTCATAATTGTTAGAATTCTTCGTTTGATTGGTTGGTTTAACTTTTGGGGACAAAATTTCCTATGGTGGGGAGGTTGTGATGATCGGTTTTGTTTTATTTCACTTCACTTTTGTCTTCCATAGGGTTTGTGATAGCCGGAAGCTTTTCCTCAAATAAAATTCTTGTTCTAGTTTTGTTCGGTGTTGAATTTCACTTGTTTCGGAGGATACACGGTTGAGTCCGAAGTGCCCGGGGATCGAAAAAGAAAATTTTGGGTTACTGGGCCAGGGCCGCACGTACGGGGCCCTAGGCCTCAAGTGTGGGGTGGGGCCGCACGTGAAGGGGATGAGGCCGCACGTGCGAGGAGGGGCGAGTTTTAGAGGGTTGTACACTGCTAAAAAGGTAGGTGCGGAGTGAGGTGCGGCAAGGGACCACCGCATGTGCGAGGGTGAAGGCCGCACATGCGGGGGAGGCACTCCACATGTGCGGGAGAGGGCGCCGCACGTGCAGGATTCTGGGCAGTCGAATCTCTATTTTTTTTCCCTTTTTGGCCGTGTATGTATCACACTTAGGGCATTCCTCTCTCACTCTAAACATTATTTTACTCATCTTTCTCTCTAAAAACCTTCCCCAAACACCCCAAAGACCTTGATTTCTCACAATCCATGGAGCTTTGATCCATTTTCTTTCTCAAATCTTGGTGAGCAAAGCAAGAACTACATTGTGTTTTGGCATCTTTGATTCTCGGGTTTCTTCTCTCACCTTCTCCAAAAACCTTGAGGTAGTGATTTCTTGAGTTATATATACATGTTTTGCTATATTAATGTTGATTTAGAAGTTTTCTTGAAGCTCTTATGTTGATTTTTATTTTGTGATCTAAAATGTAGAGAGTTTTAAAAGTGGGGTTAAATCTCAACTCTTTTGTTAAACCTAGAGGGCTTCCTTTTTATCAAACTTGAGAAAGATGATTTAAGTAGGGTTTCACCAAGGAAATGGGAAATGTTTGGTTTTTGATAAAAACCCTAGAAATTGGGGATTTTGGAAAGTATGGAAATGCCTATGGATTTCTTACTTTTCTTGTGTTAAAAGAATGAATGAGTGTAGGTTTCATGATGTGGTTTGCAAAATGGCAATCTTATTGATATATGAAAATGGCGAATTTGTTTTAAAACTATTGTTAAATGCATGAACATGTGTGATTGTGACACGACAAGTTGTTGTGTACCATAGATCATGAGAAATGGGAATCTTGGAAATTGATGTTCGAAAACATTATATGAAGGGACAACATTGTCAAAAATTGTGCATAATGAGAACACATTGCTATGTGTTGATAGCTTGGTTGTGTACATGGTTAATTGTGAAACAAGATTAGATAGAGAGAAATGGAGAAATGTTATAAGGCATTAGTTATTACATCATATACTCATTCAATTTACATTGAGAAAGAATATTTTTAAATGAGAACTATTTAATGTTATGGGGTAAATACGTTGGTAAGTTTGGTTAGGAGGTGTAGATGAATTTGATAAGTTGGCCTGAGTGTCCGGGGTGAAAGACCGAAAATACGCGCGGAGGAGGTACCACTTCCCTTCCTGTTAGCAACCGGTAAAGTGAGGTTATTGGTAGTGCTTGTTGAGCCTACTTGCAGACACCAACCTAGGGATTACCTGAGTCGTATTTACCGCCCCTTTTGATTAAAATTGGAGATTTCGGAATTATTGAGATTTTTTTTTAAAACTATTATTGAAACTTGATGATTTTCAAGAAGAACATGTGCATGAAATTTCCTTTAAACTGGCATTGCATGGCATCACATTTAATATTGGAAAGTCTAGCATAACTGTATATACTTTGTAAGGATTCTCTACTAGGCATTATGCTCACCCCTATTGGATTTTGGTGCAGGAAAAGACATGGTGATCCCGCCAAGTTGAGGGCGTGGATATGTTGTGAAGAGTAACAACTCTATTTTGTTATGATTTGATTGCTAGCCAAGGGCTATCCATGTATGGGTTCAAGAGGCCACTTTTGTGTAACCGAGCTTAAGCCTTGGAAGTTGTAGCCCATGAGGGTATTTTACTTATTTTGAAATTTGACGTTCTACATGCTATAGATTCATGTATTTAATATCCTTGAATGTATAATTTGCATGTAGAATTTTTGTATAAACCTGGTGATTAATGATGTAAAGGTTGGGGGTTTTGTTATATTTATATAGTGAATGTTGGTTAAAGTATTTCATCTTGATGGATTATTTTCGAGGCGTTACACAAAGAGAGTTAGAGAGTTTCCAACTCAAGCCCCTCAATCCCTCATAACAATACTACATTACAACCTCCCTCCCAAAGCAAATCTAATTTGCAGCAAATTATACATAAAATCAGTGATGGAAAAATGGAAATCCCTTAAGGTGGATTTCAGCCAAATTGCAAGCCTAACAGTGATAGCTTCATGTAACTCCTCCATGTTTGGTTGGATATCTTGAAAGAGGCAGTCATTCCTATGCTTCCAAATGGACCAAAGAGCCACCAAAGGGATGGCATTCCAAATTCTCCTTTCAGCTTTGGTGAAGTTATTCCCAGCCCACCACTGCAAGAGCCCATCAACTGATCCAGGCACCATCCATTGAGTTCCCTTCCATTCCAGTAGTCATGCCAGAAGTACACTCTACAACCATTTCCCACTTTAATCTGAAGATTATTGACATGAAATTGCAGGAGGCTGACTCTTTGGTTTGCTGCTACCAAAATATCTCCCCAAATCTTGGAGAATCTGTTGCTTGCTTGAAGATTTGTGAGCCATTTCCCACCTTCTACTTTGTTTTTGTTGCAAATCACCTTCTTCCACAGGGCTATTTCCTCATTGGCAAACCTTCACCACCACTTAATTAATAAACACACATTCATGTCGCGGATTCTTCTAACACCCAACCCCCCTTGCTTGATAATTTTTGTTACCTCTTTCCATTTCACTAAATGGATTTTCCTCTTTAACTCAGAGCCACCCCATAAGAATGAGGCTTGTAATTTTTCAATTTCTTTTGCTATCCCTTCTGGCATCTTGAACAGAGATAGGTAATACACTGGCAGGCTTGATAACACTGCTTTAATCAGAGTTAACCTGACTGCAAAGGAGAGAAATCGCCTCTTCCACCCAACAAGCCTGAGCTTTATCTTCTCAATGACAAGTTTCCAACTCAGCTTCCTGTGAGGGCTAGCACCCAAAGGCAAAACCAAGATACTTCAGTGGTACTAACTTAGTTTTACAGTTTAGCAAGGAAGCAAACTCAATGAGCATAGATTTAGAGACACCAAACCTACATACCACACTTTTATGATAATTTATCTTAAGCCCTGATGCAACTTCAAAACACCTTAAGATCCTTTTTAAATTTAGCACTTCTGACCATTCAGCTTCACAGAACAATAAGGAATCATCTGCAAATTGAAGGTGAGAAACTACTACATCATTAACACTAAATACTACTCCTTTCAATAGCCCTAACTCCCTAGCTCTCATAAGTAATATGTTCAACCCTTCTGCAGCCAAGTTAAATAGGAAGGGAGATAATAGATCCCCTTGTCTGAGACCTTTTTGAGGACTAAATTCCTTAGTTGGTGAACCATTCACAAGTATTGAGATTCGAGCTGAAGAGAGACATTCTTTCATCCTAGGAATCCATTTTGATCCAAAGCCAAAGCTAGATAGCATTAAGAATAGGAATTCCCAGTTGAGGGAGTCATAAGCCTTCTCAAAATCAATTTTGAATAACAGCCTTCTTTTCTTGGTTTTTTTCCACCCATCCACAATTTCATTTGCAATCAATACCCCATCAAGTATGTTTCTTCCTTCTAGGAATGCTAATTGTAATTCACCAATTACAGATGACATGACTTTTTTTAGTCTACTTGCAAGAACCTTGGTGAGTATTTTGTAAGCTGGCCCAATTAGGCTAATGGGCCTATACTCATTTAAGTTAACTGCATTCATTTTCTTTGGAATAAGGGTGATGAAAGAGTTGTTCAATCCACTAGCCAATCTACCCCGCTCATGAAAATCTGACATAAAGAGCATCACATCTTCTTTGAGCACCTTCCAATGTTTCTGAAAAAACATTAAATTGAAACCATCTGGACCCGGAGCTTTGTTTCCATTACAATGTTTGACAACTTCCCAAACCTCATCTGCTGAAAATTCTAACTCTAACATATGAAATGAATCACTTTGCCTCACATTCTTGAAATCACCAACTATCACAGGTCTATGCCCCCACTCTTCTAAAAACTACTTTTTAAAATGTGACCACACCTCATTCTTGACCAAGTTTGGTTTCTCAAGCACCACATCCCCAACTGCAATGAAGTTGAGGGCATTTCTATTTTGTCTACTAGTAGCCATGACATGAAAATATCTTGTGTTCCTGTCCCCTTTCATATTTCAGTCTAACATTGACTTTTGAAGCCATGTGCATTCCAACATTCTACTTAATCTCCACATTTCATTCCTTGTCTCTCTTTTTTGTTTGATTTCAACATCCTCCAGAGGTCTTACTTCAGCCCTCAGATCTAAGGCATTCAGTTCATCTTCTGTTGCTTTTAGTAGGGTTGCAATATTACCATATACTTCTCAATTCCACTGTTTTAATGCCATCTTTAGAGCCTACAGCTTCCTTTGCAGAATATATCCATTAGTCCCTTGAAACTGTAGTTCCTTCCAGGTATTCTCCACAAAAGGTGCAAAATTTGAGTGCAAGAGCCAAACATTTAAGAATTTGAAAGGT